GGTGTGAGGTGTGTGGTGTGAGGTGTGGTGTGGTGTGGTGTGAGGTGTGAGGTGTGTGGTGTGAGGTGTGAGGTGTGTGGTGTGAGGTGTGAGGTGTGGTGTGGTGTGGTGTGAGGTGTGTGGTGAGGTGTGTGGTGTGGTGTGAGATGAAAGGCAAGAAAGGATGGGGATAGAGGTGAGGCGAGGACCAGCATGAATCTTCACCCACAAATCCTAAAATCAATATCCATGAACCTAGGCATGGGGCACCTGCCTGTAACCTCAGCGACTGGAAAGGCAGAGGGCAAAGCCGGAGGGTTGGAGGCTGCCCAAGGAAAATTAGCAAGACCTGTCTCAACAAAAAGCAACATGGTTGGGCATGTAACTCAAGTGGCAGAGCGCCTTGCCTAGCAAGTCTGAGGCTCTGAGGTCAGTCTCCAGTAACACACACACACACATTCACTCAGCAGACATTCCTCATAAAAACCCTAAGGTTAGGGGAAGAGAATGCATTCAGTGAACGGTGCCACACAAAGGCAATCAACCAGGCGTGAGGAAGGAGGCTTGCTCTTGTTCTTCAAGGAAAAATGGAAACGAAATATCTACTGTTGTTCACAGATGATAGGGTCTCCGTCTCCCAATAATAAGGTTATCTTCACACTGGAAGCACTGGCTCCATGGTGTTCTTCGTTTGCAATCCTGTCTGCTGCAGGCCTGCCCTTGAGCCCGGCCACCATGTGAGAAAGCCTCTTTTCTATCACAGTGCTTCGCTTCCTTTCTGTCAATCTTGTGAGAAGTGTTTTTCTGAAAAGTTCCTGCTTTGGCCTGGTGGCTTAGTCTTTGCTGCTGCTGTTGTTTTGTCAGTCATGGGGCTTGAACTCAGGCCTGGGTGCTGTCCCTAAGCAAGCACTCTACCACTTTGAGCTACAACCACTTCTGGTTTTCTGGTGGTTCATTGGAGATTCGAGTCTCATTTACTTTCCTGTCTGGGCTGGTTTCGAATCATGATCCTTAGATCTCAGCCTCCTGAGTAGCTAGGATTATAGGTGTGAGCTGCCGGCGCCCAGCAGCCCCAGCTAATTCTACCAGTGTCTGCACTGGCCAGCAACCCATGCAGAAGTGGCCTGGTGGCTCCAGTCTGGGCTCTCAAACCAAGACCCCCATATCTGCCTCCCAGGTAGCTAGGTTACAAGCTTAACCACTATGCCCAGTGTAGGCTTAAAGTGCTATCAAGGCTCATGGAATTCAGAGGTATATTTCCTATGTACTATCATTATTATTGTTATTTATCAGAAGTGGGGCTTGAACTCTGGGCCTGGGCACTGTCCCTGAGCTCTTTAGCTCAGGGCAAGTGCTCTACCCCTTAAGGTTTTTCTGGTGGTTAATTGGAGATAAGAGTCTCATTGGCTTTCCTGCCCAGGCTGGCTTTGAACTGCAATCCGCAGATCTTAGCCTCCTGAACAGCTAGGATTACAGGCATGAGCCACCTATGCCTGGCTTCCTATGTATTATTAAGGAGAAGGAGACAATAGATAACGTGTAGGTATACCTAATAGACCTAAGAGGGCCCACTACCACAGGAGCATCTGTCTCCTTGGACACAAGGTCAGACCAACGTCTTCTTACCCCCAGATCCTGCACAGGAGCCATCATGTCTGTCTTCTTTGCTGAGATAAGAGTCTTGTTATCTTTGGGGCTGAGAAGGTGGCTCAGTGGTAGAGTGCTTGCCTTGCATGCCTGAGGCCCTGGGTTTGATTCCTCAGCACCACATAAGCAAAAAGAAAAAAGCCAGAAGTGGTGCTGTGGCTCAAGTGGCAGAGCGCTAGCCTTGAGCTGAAGAGCTGAGGGACAGCGCCCAGGCCTAGAGTTCAGGCCCCACAACTGGACCCCCCCAAAAAAGTCTTGTTATCTTTAGTCCCGGCTGGCCGCCGACTGACTGCAGTCCCCCGTTCTCTGCCTCCTAAATAGCTGGGATTACATGTGTACGGCGCCATGCCTAGCTCTATCACAAGCCTGTCACCCTCTCACCCTGTGGTGACAGTCACCAGGATCCTTCAGGTAGGGTTTTATGGTCCCTCACAGAGGCAAGATTGAACAAATCACTGACTTCGGTGATGAGCTCAGTCCCAGCCCCTCCGGGATTGTAGGAGCAGCACTCCATCCCTGCTGTGCGTGTGTGCTTCCCATGTGCATGTCCTCGTCCACGTTTGATGTCGGTATCTCACTTAGGAAACCGTAGCCAGTTCCCTGCAACTGCTTGCTAAGCAGGCTGGGGTAGAGGAAGACTGTGGGAGCTTCTGGTTTGTAGTATCATAGCATGTGTGAGTTAGAACTGGAGGCCAGGCTGGGGCTGGAAGTTCCCGCCCCTGCCTCATCGGTTGCTCCTTCGGCAGCCAGACCCTCTGTAATCCACCTCAGGCCTCTGCGCACGCCATGCTGGGCAGCTGCTGTGCTGACTCAACATGCACACTTACTCTGTCACCTGGGAACCCCAAGGTGTAGATGCTTTCGTGTCACGAACCAGAGTGAAGACCAAATGTCAATTTCTGTCTAATGGATGGTATGTTTATTCATATATATGTAGTAATATGAATACTTGACCCTCAGAATTATTGAGTATTAGTGGTTCCAGGTACCTTTTTGGGTGCTCTAGTTCCTTTTATAACATTTGTATATAACTTATTCTTATCCTCTGATATACTTTATAATGTGTGTGTGTGTGTGTGTGTGTGTGTGTGTGTGTGTGTATGCATGTGCTGGTCCTGGGGCTTGAATTCAGGAGCTTTTTCTCCTCAAGGCTAGTGCTCTACCACTTGAGCCACAGCTCTACCTCCAGCTTTTTGGTTGTTACCTGGAGATTATGCTCATGGACTTTCCTGTCTGGGCTGGCTTAAACTGTGATCTTGAGCTTGAAGCCTTTTGGGTAGCCAGGATTACAGGTGTGAGTAACCAGCGCCAGGCTCCTATTTTCGGCAACACTGGTATTTGAACCACTTGAGATACACCTGTGGACCTGCACGCTTTTGTGTGTGTGTGTGTGTGTGTGATTTGGGTTATTTTTCAGATAATCTCTTGCTTTTGTTTGGCGCCAGCTTCAGACCAAAGTCCCCTTACCCCCAGATCCTGCCCAGCTGGGATTACAGTAGTGGCCATGTCTGTCTCGTTTGCTGAGATAAGTCTTGTTAACTTTAGTCCCAGATGGCCTCAGACTGCATTCCTCCTCCCCCCTTCTCTGCCTCCTGAGTAGCTGGGATTAGAGGTGTATGGCATCATGCCTAGCTCTATCAAATACTTTAAATCATCTCTGCATTTCTTAGAAGATCTGAAACAATGTAAATGCCATGTGGAGAACCACGCTACTGAATCGTTTAGGGAATAAGTACAGGAATAAAAAGTCTGTACATGTTCAGTATAGATAGGACTTCTTTGCTTTCTGCCCCTGAAGCCTCTTCTGCCAGTGCAATGCTGATTCTCACTCTAACTTTAGGGAATGTCTTAATATTTAGTATGGCAAGTCTCCCCTTCATTTTCTCTTTAATGTTGACTTGTCACTTTTCAGTCTTTATACTCCTATATATGGAGCAGGTTTGTAATACCTAAAAAACTAACGTACATTAATTTGAAATTACACTAAACTCAAAGATTAACTCATTTTTAGTGTCACTTCTGGGTCTTAAGGATTCTCTCTGCACTTGTTTACAATGGGTTATGTGTTTTTGGTTAGCATTCAAAATTTCTTCCATAGGCTGGGAAGGTGGCTCAGTGGTAGAGCCCTCGCCTCTCATGCATGAGGCCCTGGGTTCAATTCCTCAGCACCACATAAGCAAAAAGAAAAAAGCCGGAAGTGGCGCTGTGGCTCAGCCTTGAGCTGGAGAGCTGAGGGACAGCCCAGGAGGCCCAGAGTTCGGGCCCCACGACCGACAGCAACAAAAGAAATGTATCTAAAGTTTCCTTCGAAGGCCGTCTGAGCGACCGCCGAGCTCTAGAGCAATTCCTCTTTCTCCGGAAGTGCCGAGTGTTTTCCCACAGGACAGTCGGGTCGCTCCGTGGGCCGTGTCTGTGGGGAGGCTGCGCCTGCGCACCCGGGAGCCACTGCCCATACCGTGTACACTGTGTACGTGCGGAGGCTGCGCCTGCGCACCCGGGGGCCACGGCCCACACCGTGTACACTGTGTACGTGCGAAGGCTGCGCCTGCGCACCCAGGGGGCCACGGCCCACACCGTGTACACTGTGTACGTGCGAAGGCTGCGCCTGCGCACCCGGGGGCCACGGCCCACACCTTGTACACTGTGTACGTGCGGAGGCTGCGCCTGCGCACCTGGCGGCCACCGTCGACCCCGTGGACAGCGCGTACGTGGGGAGGCTGCGCCTGCGCACCCGGGGCCCACAGCCCACACCGGGTGCTGCGTGGACGTGGGGCTGGATTTGCCCGCAGGAGGCCTAGTGGTGAGCTGACCAGCCTGGGCCGAGGCTCGCGTGAGGCCGGGCGGGTGGCGTCCTCCGGCGCCAGGCCGCGCGGCAGGGCGGAGGGTGGACGGGCCGGCAGGGACGGGTGAGAGGTCGTGGCCTCCTCGGGAGGTCCGGTGGGGGAGGCCGAGGGGCCGTGGTGGGGGCACGGTGTGCCGGACCCTCCTTCAAGTTC